CCTGCTGCGCAGTGGAGATCAAATATTCTTGCTGTCTTCAAAGAACACAGATTGCCACCATAGCGGCCTTAGTGGCCGCCTTAGAGGTAGGCACAGCACAGCTGAAGAGGCTATAGGAAGCCAGTAAAGAAACTGATAAGTCAGGGAGTAGATTTAGGGTTTTTTCACAAAACAATAGACCTTTCCAAAGGGGTAGGGTGTATTGGTATTGTGGGGTGGAATTGGTTTGTACCCGGTCATTTACAAGGAAGAAAGGTGCTGAAATTGAAGTATTTTAGGGGGAATGTCTTTATGTAGGTTCTAGAGAAATGTTTTAATTTAAGCCTGTCTTTCTGAAGCATACCAAGAAATGAGTGCGAAGAACTATAGAGGTTTTCTCTCTCATGATCCCTAATTTTAACCGCAAACCTGATGCGCTTTTAATGGTGTCTTATTCTGGCTGTAGATCTCGAATGGATTTACCTGGCTCTCCATCACGGCTTGTATGTTCCTCCCAGCCAGCCCAGATGCTGTCCATTGATACTGGCCAAGCGGACCGGCAGGCAAGTGGTAGGATGGATGTTTCTGCTTCAGTGGAACATGAAGCCCTCAGCAATGCTTTCCGCTCGGTACCGCTGGCAGAGGAAGAGGACTTTGATAGCAAGGAGTGGGTTATCATCGATAAGGAGACAGAGCTGAAGGACTTTCACCCAGGTGCTGAGCCAAGCACCTCTGGGACCACAGATGAGGAACCTGAGGAACTAAGACCTATTGAAGAGGGTGAGGAGAGAAGGCGCTTGGGGGCAGATGTTGCAGTCAGGCCGAAGATACATGATGGGCGAAGTCGAGGTATGCAGCCTGTGACTGAGGAGGATAGTTCCCACAGACATGAAGGACCTTCTCAAACAGTATCTGACAGTAAACATGAACAGCAGACAGGAAGTCCAGCCCACTCCCCCCTGCACTCAGCACCAGCTATCCGACAAAGGAGACGAGAGTCTGAACCTACTGGTCCTCAGAGACAGGTAAGATCCTCAACAGAATCTCCTTTGCTCTGATCTGTATCTCACTGCCTAGCATAGCACAGTCATTATCTTGGGAAACCTCAGCTATGCTGGAGAAGGCTGTGTTTTCCAGCATGGATGCTCTTGTGAAACTCTTTCTGCCAGGGCTTGCAAACGTTGTGAACACCTCAGAGGTGCTCCCTACAACTAGTAATGTTGTTCCCTACTAAGGATATACTGTTCTCAAGATTTTTCAGCCATTTTGGTACAGGGACAGGAGGAGAGCATGGGTCTGGTTGTGGATATCTTTGATCAGTTCTCTTACTGCTGTCCCGCAGTGATTTGTTAGTAAACTGCTTAGCTGTATGGAGATGTTGCTACCAAATCTTCTCCACCTAGTTTCTCAGCGAGCAACAGCAGAATATGGCAAGAGAGCGCCCTCTAATCAACCTTACTTCGGGGACTGGCGTTGTTACCAGGTATTTACTCACGGAAATGTGCATTAGCTACTTTGATTTTCCGGGGAGTCACAGAGGGTTTTTTTGATCTTGCTTTTGCTGAGGGCTGAGGTTGGTTTGTTAGTGAAGATCTCCTATGCACATGTGATCCATAAACTCAGCAGAGTCGGGCCTTGGGTCACATGCATGTTAGGGACAGCGCACAGTGATACCCTCCTACTGCAGGAGCCTTTGCAGTCTGCTTGTTCCCCTCTGGAAGAGGGTAGCTCAATCTCCCCTTCATAAGCTTATTCTGCAGCGGAGCATTTGTTGGGCTGGGGAGAGGACATGGGCAGTAACAAAGCTGTATGGACCATAGTAAAAGAACATCCTCTCTTCCCATCCTTGCTTTGACTTTTCTCTCCTCTGGATCCCAGAGAGATGTAAGAAAACAAGGACTGTTAGTTTCAGCAGCAAAGCATGAATGATACAAGAAACTGTATAAAAAGAATCAAACCAAATCCTTGCCTGTCAGCAGATGTTCCCTGCTAAGGTCTATGAGGCTGCAGCATCTGCAGGAAGGATAGAAGTACTGACAACACAATGTGAATTTGCTCTGTCTGTCCACTTATTAGGCTGGTCAATGCAAGACGCACTGACCCTCTGTAAGAACCAGCAGGGACGCTTCGCTGATACATGTAGCATGTAGCAAAGAAGGTTGGAGCAGCCTTCTCGGCCATAAGAAGTAATGCAGTCACATGGAGGGACTGGGGAAATTGCATATGATGCAGTACGAAGGATGCTTATTCACAGTGATACTTAAAAAACCCCTCATCTTAGCAGGCAAAACAGTACATTCATTTCCTGTCATTAAACAAAGATAGCGGGTGATTGCTGCTAATGTATTGGACAGCCTCAGTTCTCCAGCAGACTGTCTATTTCTTTGCTCTTGTGTTCTGAAATACCCTCTAGTTACTCCTGTGCCTAGCTTTGTGCTTAGTTGGGTCAACACTGGACTTGTCTGACTGGCTAGGATTTGCTTGTGCTTCCTTTGAGTCTGGATCTTTCAGTTGTCTCTGTATACATAGCTTTGAAATGACATTCAGATGTTTCCATTTGCTGTCACAAAATCAACCGCTGACTCTCAAAGTTAAAATAACTTGGTACAGAAGAGAAAGCAAAAACCTGTTCTCCTTCAGCACAGCAGAGGTGGAGGGGCAGTTGGTTAGGACCAGCATTTTGATGAGGGTAATGAGCAGTTGTCTAAGGGCCTAATGAAAATATTGAAAGCCTCGGTATCTACTGGCAATGACAGATGTTTCCTGCAGCCCAGGCTGGGCAACCTCTGGGTCTGTGTGAAACTGTGACTAGATAGCGTGCGCATGAGTAAATCTTTCTCTTCTTTGAATCTGAACTGAGCTTTTAAGATAGGTAAAAATGCCACTAAGTGCAGAACTACTGTGGCTAAGGCCGTAGGCCTTCTTGTATGGATTTGGGGTCTCATTCTGGCCTCCGTAAAATTGGTGGACAGGCTTTGGTGTCAGCGGAATACTAACTCAGAGCAAATGGGTAATCCCTGCTCTGATGCTTTCCTCTGTTCCTGCAGTATATGAGCCATTACTTGTTACTCGGAAAAAAACAGCGACCTCTGGATTATCGCAGAATCCCATGGCTGAGGTTGGCAGGAATGTCAGTCCCACCCCCTTGCTCAAAGCAGGGTCAACTATAGCAGGTTGCTCAGTACCACGTGCAGCTGGATTTTGAATGTCTCCAAAGATGGAGACTCCACAATGTCTCTGGGCAACCTGTTCCAGTGTTTGATCACCCTTATGGTAAAAAAGCTTTTCCTTATGTCTAAATAGAATTTCCTGTGTTTCAGTTTGTGTCCATTGCCTCTTATCCTTTCACTGGGCACCGCTGAGAGGAGTCTGACTCCATCATCTTGTTTACTCTCTCCCATCAGGTATTTATACCCATTAATGAGATCCCCACTGAGCCTTCTCCAGGCTGAACAGTCCCAGCTCTCTCATCCTCTCGTCATGTCAGACACAACAGTCCCTTAATCATCCTTGTGGCTCTTTACTGGACTCACTCCAGGATGTCCATGTTTTTCTTGTAGCCCAGAACTGGACACAGTACTCCAGGTGTGGCCTCACCAGTGCTGAGCAGAGGGGAAGGATCACCTCCCTCGACCTGCTGACAATGCTGTTCCTAATACAGCCCAGGATGCTCTTGGCCTTCTTTGCTGCAATGCACTTTGATGGCTCATGTTCAACTTTTTGTCCATCATGACCCCCAGGTCCTTCTCTGCCAAGCTGCTTTTCAGCTGCTCAGTGCCCAGCCTGTACTGGTGCACAGGCTTGTTCCTCACTGGGGCAGGACTTTGCACTTTCTTTTGCTGGACTTCATGAGGTGCCTGTTGGCCCATTTCTACAGCCTCTCCAGGTCCCTCTGAATGGCAGCCCTCTAGTATATCAACCACACCTTCCAGTTTTGTATCATCAGCAAACTTGCTGAGGGTTGCACTCTGTCCCATCATCTAGGTCAGTAATGAAGATGTTAAAAGTACTAGCCCCAGTATTGACTCCTGGGAGACACCGCTAGTGACTGGTCTCCAGCTGGACTTCATACCACTGATGATAACCCTCTGAGCCTGGCTGCTCAGCTAGTTTTCAGTTCACCTCACTGTTTATCTAGTCCTTACTTCTTCAGTTTATCTGTGAGGATGTTATGGGAGACAGAGTTGAAAGCCTTACTAAAGTCAAGATAAACAACATCAACATGAGTTTTTATAGTTTGTATAGCTCTCCTCTCATCCACTGAGCCAGTCATCTCATTGTTGAAGACTATCAGATTGGTCAGGCATTATTTCCCCTTTATACATCCATGCTGACTGCTCCCAGTCACCTTCTTGTCGTTAATATATTTGGAAATGGCTTTCAGGAGGATTTGCCTCACGTCCTTCGCAGGGATTGAGGGGAGGCTGACAGGTCTGTAGTTCCCCAGATTATCCTCAGATAGAGGTCAGCTGTTTGTTCAAATGCCTGAATCTGTTGGGTTCAGACAGAATACAGAAAGATGCTGTAGTGCAGGGGTGACAGAAGGTGGTGTCCTGGTGAAATTGTGGGGGTGCTGCTGTGGGGAAAGTGAAGTATAGCGGTAGTTTATGCAGAGCTTTGAATGGCCTGGGGAAATTTCTGTCTGAAATATTCTCACATGTTAGCTGTCTTCCAGTTTCAGCTGACAATAAGGCAACTGCAGTGGAACGTAGATCTCATGGGAAGCCCTGGTACAGAAGACAAACAGGACTGTCGTGAAACTATGTCCAGTACAAGCCCTTCCATCTGTGCACTGCTCAGTGAAGGCAGCACACTGAGCATACTCAACCAGTATGTTTCTGATCACCGATCAGTCCTGCTGGGGCCTGACCTGCTCCATCCTAGGCAGAGAGGGTTACAGCTGGCTCAAGCCGATGGGACGCTGACTGGCTCAACATGCAGCAAAGCTGTTTAACAGAGCTCTTAAAGTTTACTTTAATGTTTGTACGTATTTGCTAATGTAGTAACCAATCTCTGCTTATGTTTCTGCAGTAACATGCAGATGAAGCTGTATAAATAGTTAAAAATAAGTTTAAAAAATCTTGAATCAGTACTTCTTGTTTACATATTAATCCTGGCATAGGATTTCTGTTACTGTTGAAAAGCATTTATATCTACACCTAGCAATAGGATTCAAACATTTATCAAGTTCTCAAATATGCTGAGCAAATTTATCAACACTTGACAGTGATGGCAACTTAAATCTAGCTTCTGTGTTGTAAAGAAACACAAATGCTCATGCATTTATGAATTTCAGCCACTACTTCCTACTGTAGGTCTGTGCATGTGGGTATTTCTTGGCTCTGATTCTCCCTTACTGCTAGTGCAATTGGCAGTGTAGAAAACTTTCTTTAAAACTTGCCTGCCTAAAACTTGACTACTGAAACAACGTTCCATGTAAAAAAAAAACACGGAAAGGTGAAGCAGCCCTGGGAGATCATATCTTCCTTACCTGTCCTTGAATATATTCCATAGTTTTGTTTCCATAGTGTCTTGCAGTCCCATCTCCCAGAATCAAGAACAGAAAGGACTCAGTGTGGAGAGGTACTGGTGTATCTCCTCACCATCTTTGACTCATTCTTAAAAAATCCCCCTTAGTGCTATATTAGGCCTCTTTCTTTAGAGAACGATCGCTTCAGTGGCCCCAGTATGCCGCTTCCTTCTTCCATTGATTTGAGTCGGTGATGATGGGTCCTCAGGCCAGGACACAGAGACACAGGAAAAGTATGTCTCACAGCAAGGACAGGGCTCTAACTTTTGGGGTGATCCGTACTGCCTTTTTGATTTATGTGGCTTAGAGCTCTGTGATTGCCCCGGGTCTGTTACCCGAAGGAATTTTGTTTGATTTGCACTGAAAACTGAAAGCTGAGCAGGACTTCTCTGGGTGATATTTTGGGTCCTGTGGCCCCAGACCCTGGAGCAGTGATGAGTAAAATGCTTGGCACTCCCAGAGTACTCCCAAGGTACAGAGCAGGAGGAGAAGGCA